CCCACAGATACACACGAGCACGCGCACCCATACATGTGTGCCAACATATATACAAACACACAGAAATACACGAGCACGTGCGCCCACACACAGGTTAGACAACCCAGCCCAGGAATTGTCCTTGTTCTGTCCTTTAGCAGGCGTCTGTGCTACAAAGAGGGTTTGAGCCACTCAGGGTGGGCCCTGGGAGCCATGCCCAGAGGGTCCCTCACTTCCCTCTGCCATCCAGGGCCAATGGCCTGGACTACATGGAGTTCCGCCTCTGGATTGGTCTTCACTCAGCCATCCAGTGCCTTATCCTGGTGGCCACAGATGCCAGCTTTATCATCAAGTATATCACACGCTTCACCGAGGAGGGCTTCTCCACCCTCATCAGCTTCATCTTCATCTACGACGCCATCAAAAAGATGATTGGTGCCTTCAAATACTATCCCATTAACACGGACTTCAAGCCGGACTCCATCACCACCTACAAATGCGAGTGCGTCGCTCCTGACACAGGTGACCGGTAGTCCCTGAAGTGCACTGGGTTTCCAGCCCCACCCCTCCTTCCACTGCAGCTCTCAGTGCAGGAAGGAGAGCTCATTTGCAAGGGTTCTGTAGCCTGGTGCTCACTGTTCCAAGGGAGCAAATGCTGGGCCTTTGTTTCTTTATTGAAGCGGGTCCGTCTGTGCAACCCAGACTAGCTTTGGCACTCACAATGCTAACTGCAGGCTCTTGAAGCTAATTTTTGGAAAGAATTTGAAAGGATGATAGTTCTAACCAAAACCACAGTGTGATTTGTGGGGGTAAAAAATACCCCAGGTTGTAATCAGGAGGCTGCAGAGATACTTCTGGAAGGAGCAGGGCATGAGTGTGGCTTCTGTGGAAGTTACACCTTGTCAGTAACACTGCCCTAGTGTGAGCTCATGGCTCCTCCCAGTGCCAGTCATACATGACAGCTTGCCTCAACACACCAATGTGGTCACAAATCTTATAACGTGAGACCACCTCGAAAGGAGAAACATCCCACAATCAGGGTGAGGGCCTGTTGGAAGAGTCGGGGAAGCTGGCATCATTCAGCCTCCTGGGCATAAGAGTAGGTTGTGAGGACATCCATGTCACGAGGGACCACATCTACCCTCAGTGACCACAGGATGTGGAATGAGCCCTGAGGAGAAGCTTCATGAAGCCAGATGCCGCTGAGTTTAGGGAGGAAGTTAGAGTGGGAAGAGTAACCTGAGAGATGCCGACCTCCTCGGCTGAGAGCCGTTTGCTACGCTGCCGGGCATTCACGTGCCAGCGATGTTTAAAGGGCCCAGCACTGAGTGGGCTGCAGCAAACAGCTGGCCACCAGGATAACAAATTCTCAGGGCCATTCATGTGTTGCTTTCTGACGGAAGAAATCCTCACATGCAAAGTGAAGGCCTCCTCGGAGTTGGGTCTCCAGGCCTCCATCACAGCCCGAGAGCTGTCAGAGCAGAACGAACCTAGAGGGCCACGGGAATGCAGATCAGGGTGGGAGACCTACCCTCATACTTCCAAGCACTGCTGTACTGGCCTGACAGAAAACAAGCTGGGGTTCAGAGGCCACCCAAGACCACACTAAACCTCAGTTTCCCTAACTGTCAGAGGGGAACCAGTGCTTATCAGAGATTCCTGCAAGGTTTTCAAGTAAGTAGGAAAATAAGCAAATATTAGATTTTCCGATCCCTTAGCTTGATGATGATGATGATGATGATGATGATGATGATGATGATAGACTTGATCATGGTAAGTGTACTGGCAGACACTTCTAATCCTAGCACTCGAGAAGCAGGGGAAAGTAGATCTTTTTGAGTTCAAGGCCAGCCTGGTCTATTGAGAGTTTCTGACCAGCTAAGGTTATGTACTAAGACCTTGCCTTACAAATATTGATCTTTCCTGAGTGATGGGGACACACGCCTTAAATCCCAGCAGTCAGGAGGCAGGGGCAGGGGCAGGGGCAGGGGCAGGGGCAGGGGAAGGGGCAGGGGCAGGGGCAGGGGCAGGGGCAGGGGCAGGGGCACTCTGTGAGTTTGAGGCCAGCCTGTTCTACAGAGTGAATTTGCAAGTGTGGGGTCCTGAGGTTGATGGGATACCATCCCCACAGGGGGCACTGTTGGTCACACTCCACTCATGGCACTGGTTTTTGAATAGAAGTGTAGGCTTAACTTTTCTCTTTCTTTTTTTCTAGCATTAGCTTTGAGTTTTTCTGTTGAACTTATAGGCGAAGTTTACCTTTTCCCCAGGTTCTTGCCTGGATCTCTAAAGACATCTTACTACAGGCCCTTTTGAGTCTTCTTAAGGGGGAAGCTTTCCTCAGACGAAGCTTATTTTTACTACATTTGCTTCTTAGACTCCCAGTCCATACACTGGGCCCAACCCTGCCACAGACCTGCTTTCTAGAAACATATCTCCTTGTCTCTATTTATAAAGAGCCCAAATTCTTGGGTCCTATGAGGAGCTTTGTCTACTCTGTGAGCCATCTGTTCACCTAAGGGTGCCCTACAAACAGGCACCGTTGGCGCAAGTACACTGAGTTTCAGATGGCAAAGCGAAGCTGCCTGTCCTGCACTCCTTCCCGTAGCGCTTGCCTGGTGCCTCACTCTCCTGAGTAATTTTCAGGGCTCCTAGAACATGGTCCCAAGCCTGGCAGCATCAGCACCAACTGGGAACTAATCAGAAACAGAATCGTGGCTCTAACACCAGACCTGAGAAATCTAGAAACTCAGGGTTAGACTACAACTGACTGTGTATGAACCAGCCTTTCAAGGACTTCTGTTGTCATCCCTCCCGGAGTTTGACAAATTTTGCTTTACTGAGCTGTGATTAGCTACTGACTCCAGCAAGATTTCTCCATAGAGAATAAATGTGCAGGTTCACTCTGATTTGGAGACCTTAGATGGCAAAGGTCTAGACGTTCAGCAGACTAGGGTAGCAGAGAACCAGAGGGGCTCTCCTTCCAGTTCATGAGCCGCTTTCTGACTACCTGCTCCGTTTCCCTAACTTTGCTGCACAGCATAGTCCAATGGTAACACACCATCTCACTCACACTCTTCCCATTCAAGCTTGCCAGGGACACTCTCCTTTCCTATTTAATTTTGTTTCCATGGTAACTGATTTGTATTCTGTTTATGGATGCTGCAAATGCTGATTTGGCCGCTCTCAACTTTAAGTGAGTACTACTCTGTGCATATACTAGAATTGTACAATATTTGATACTTGGACCCTTTCTGGACTTTTCTGTACTGTATTTCTTCAGTCTCCTTTAGGGTTTCAGTTCTGGCTACAAAAGAATTGATAAGCCCAAGTAGGAGATATCAAGATGCCTGAACACACTGGGTGCTGGGGTACTCTTGAGCAGTGGAGAGGGAAGCCCTCTGTGGGGCTTCTTGCCTGGCTTATCTGTCCATAATGCTAATTGAGCATCATGTTTTCTTGTGAGGAAAAGCAATAGATTCCCTGGCTTCTCATATGTGAGGCTTTCTTCAGGATGATTTTGGGGATGAAATGTCTTTGGGTCTGCTCTGCCCTGGGTCAACAGTGACCCACTTGGACCAGAATTGACTAACTTCTATGATCATATCTAGCCTTGCGGACAACTTGCTAGAGGTTGGGCGAAGACCCAGGATTAGGTTCTTTTTGTTGGGTGTCCATCCAAAGGTAGACAGCCAGCAGGAGCCAATGGGGCTTCTGCAACATTCCTGACTATAGCACCAGCCCCCAAACACCTGCCACAGAGGAGCTACTAGGAGGAGGAGGGGGAGAAGCCAGTCTTCCCCCAACCCACGCAGTCCAGAGGAGGAGAATAGGCAAGTGGTGTTCTTCCAGGTTTACGATGAGTGGCCATATCGCCTGGGGAGCCTGGCCCTGTGTTTAGATACTCCAGTTACATTTAGGGACACTGAGGTCAGGGAAGTGGGTTGCTTAGCAAGGGACACAGAGTGAACAGCTGTCAGCAAGCAGCTCTTTTGGGCTTCTGATTCTCCTTCAGATGGAGGAGGTAGGAGAGAAGGGTTCATAGATGAAAACTGGGCAGAGATGGGAGGCTCCAAGTCTCTACCAGCAACCTGGGATCGTGGCTCCAAGCATAAGCTCTGAAACTTTAGGTAACCTCAGTTTCTTCAATCTGTAAAATGGGAATATGTCATGGAGATTTTTAGGACCTGAACAAATGAATATGTTGTCAGGGTTTGGCGTAATACACGACATGGAGTTAGCTCTTTGGAACACTTTTAAAAGTTTGACACCATAAAACTGAGTCTAGCACCCAGCAGGGACTAACAGTGCGTACGCCTCACTGTCTCAGCACCAGCTTGCTCATTTGTGATGTTACAAGTAGCTGTTGGTCCTCAAGATGAGCTCTTCTGCCCTGACCCAGCTGCTCCGTGTAAGTCGTGTGTTCAATACCCTCCCCTATGGGAGCAGAGCAAGCCGGTGAAGGCAGCAGGAGAGATCAGAGTGTGGGGGCCCTTAGAGGCTGCAAGATGTGCATCTGGAAACCACTGACCCCACCCCATCTTCTCTATCTTCTCCAGTGAATACAACCATGGTCAATGCCTCAGCCCCGCTGACACCAAACACCAACACATCCCTGGTAAGCTCTTTCCTTCCAGGGCAGACTGTTCATGTGTTTATGGGGGGTGGAGGAGTCAAGACGGGGCTGGGAGGTCAGTTCCAGGAGCACATGGCTTCTGAGAATGATGCTTTTAAGTTTGTAACTGAAAGTGTCCTATTCTACAGCATCCTCAATGTGTGACATCTCTATGCAGAATAACATGTACCCAGGGGAGGTCAGTGATAAACAGAGGTACACACATACAGAGGTCTCAGTTAGTTTCTGCCTGGAACCCCCAGTTCCTGTCCAACAGTGCACCCGAAGTTTGTTAGGCTCCACCTGCCAAATGAATTTGATCAGCCCTTTGCACTTAATAGCCTCTAGGGACCCTAGCTTCCTTGCTTTCCTGAAGAGAAAGAGGTGTGGGTTTCAGGCTTCTCCCAGCCTACGTAGGTGGAAGGATGCAAAATTATAATCCAGGTAAAGGGCAGTGTGTAGGGTTGGGGCAGCTTTGTAAGCCATGAGTGACCCTCAGGTCGTTTAAGTTTCCTTGCACAGGCAGCCAGTGGCTCAGTCCATATCTATCTCAACTGACTACTAACCAGAAGTCTCCAAATGGAAGGCTTTGAGAAGAGCAGACTGAGGCAGTGGCTACTTCCCAGTGCCTGTTATGTGTAAGGGGCTATGTGCCGGGAGCTGGGCTCTGATGGACCAGCTGGGATGCTTTGGTCTGTCTTTACATTGGCTTTTCAGTCCTTAATGATTCATAGCAGGGTGATCTCAGGTTTCCAAGAGTGCAAAGACAGAAGATGTGAGGCTTCTTGTAGTGGTTCCAAGTAACCCTCCCCCACCCCAGTTCCAGATTCCTTTCCAGTCACTGTGATAAAGCACCCTGGCCAAGGAAAGCAGCTTTAAGGGAGAAAGGGTTTATTCAACTCACAATCCCAGTCTACAGTCCATCACTGCAAGGAAGGCAAGGCTACAGGAACTTGAAGCCATGAGTCATGTACAGTCCAGAATGAAGGGGGAATGGATGCATGCATGCTCTACTGGTTTGGTGGCTTTCTCCACTCTTACACAGTCTAGGATTCATTGCCTAGGGAATGGTGCCACTTATAGTGGACTGGGTCATCCCACATCAGTTAACACAGTCAAGGGTGTTAGACATAGCCTCTACAGACATAGCCACGGGTCAACCTGATGTATACAGTTCCTCCCAGGTGATTCTACATTGAATCAAGTTGGTAGTTTACACTAACCATCAAATTGTTCCCACACACAACTAGCCCACTCTCAGGGGAGTAGGAAAACAAACTTCCATGTGGAGGGCAGGTATGTCAGTGGCACATTGTAAATGAGCACAAACAGGGAGGCATGGGTCACTGGGTCACTGGGTCACTGGGTCAGTAACCAAAAAATTCAATTACTTAAAAGCATCTGTTTACTTCACTAAGTAGCTATTTCTAAACATGGGCATACTAACTTTTAAAAGTATATATTTGGAGCCGGGCAGTGGTGACACATGCCTTTAATCCCAGCACTTGGGAGGCAGAGGCAGGCAGATTTCTGAGTTCGAGGCCAGCCAGGGCTATAAACTCTGTCTTGAAAAATCAATACACACACACACACACACACACACACACACACACATATATATTTGGGACTGGAGAGATGACTCACCAATTAGGAGCATTGAGTGTTTTTTCGAAGGACCAGAGATCAGTTCCCAGGAGCCATAGTAGGTGGCTCACAAGAGCTCCATGGGGATCTGGCGCCATCTTCTGGCCATCTTCACCCACATGCACAGCACAAACACAATGTTGCACACTTTGATACATAATTAAAATAGTCAAAAGTATACATTAAATTTTATCATAAATTATTGTTCTTTCCTTTCTCCTTTTATTACTCTTGGAAATATATACATGTAGTCTTCCTTTGATCTCCACAAAGGAGTGGGTCCAATGTCCTCGAGGATTCTTAAACCCATGGATGCCCAAATCCTTTTTTACAAAAGGTTACATTTGAACTAACCTATTACCATACTCTAAATTCTTTAAATCATCTTATTGTCTACAATGCAGAGTACACTCTATATGATGTGTAAATGGCTGCTATAGAATGTTATTTCCACAATAATAATTGGAGGAGTCTACATGTTTAACACAAATGCCTTTTTAAAAAATCTGTAGCTGCTTAAATTCACACATGTGAAGTCCACAGCCTGAATTTGAGCTTTTGGGGTGCCAAGAGTTGAAACGACCCAAGAAGAAACTAATGAGGGTGTAACATGTGGGAAAAAAAAACCAGACACACTGTCTCTGGGAAGGATAGGAATAGGAGACAGATCTACTGAGGGAGAAAGCATCTCCTCCTGCCTGCAAAGCCACATACCTCAGAACACGATGAAGAAATGCTTGTCAGTCCCTAAACTTTCTAGGGAGTTGCCTGCTTATCATTCTCTGGACAGCCTGCCCCCAAGAACATCTCTGTTATTGGCCAGGAGGGCTAGGGTCCCTCGGAGGTTTGGTAGGTGGTGTGGTCCCCCAGGACCACAGGGAGAAGGACACACTGTCTAGTAGGAGGGTCCTGACCCCTTTTCTTCTGTGCTTGGTCTCCAAGTACACCCCCCTTAACCTCACAGCGCTGGACTGGTCCCTGCTGAGCAAGAAGGAGTGTCTGAGCTACGGTGGGCGCCTTCTTGGGAGCTCCTGCCAATTCGTCCCAGACCTGGCGCTCATGTCCTTCATCCTTTTCTTTGGGACTTACTCCATGACCTTGACTCTGAAGAAATTCAAATTCAGCCGCTATTTTCCCACCAAGGTAAGCATCTCCCGCAGACAGTCAGGATCTACAAACAGAGTATTCTTGAGGCAGGTCCAGCACAGTGAGATGGCTCTGCAGGCGAAGGTGCTTGCTGCCAAGGCTGCAGACCTGAGTTATATCCCCAAGACCCACATAGTGGAAAGAGAGAGCCTGTTCCCACAGTTTGACACCTGCACATGCATGTGCGGACACACACACATACACTAATTTATTTTTTTGAAAGGAACACTGTGTCGTTGTCTCTCCAGAGGCTCTATTTTCTGAAAGAATGGACACCAAGGATGCACTGAACTGAAGAAATTTTACGAATTAAAGAGCACAAACTTTGTCCAGCCCAGTGGCCCAGGCCTGTAATCCCAGCTCCATAGAGACTAAGGCAGAAGAATCATAAATTCAAAGTCATCCTGGGAAATAGACACCCTGTCTCAAAAGAAAATAAAGAGGCTACAAAGATGGATCAGCAGTTGAGAGTATTTGCTGCTCTTCCAGAGTTTGGCTCCCAGCACCCATATTGGGTGAGTCACAAGTGTCTGTAACTCCAACTTGGGGGCGTGATGCCCTCTCGTGGCCACCAGAGGCAACTGCACATGCATGCCATTCAGTTACACAGACATACATGCAAATAAAAAAATACACGTTTTAGAATACAATTAGGCTTAGAGTCTGCTTGTCCAGCATGTAGGAGGCCCTGGATCTAATCGCCAGTACTGAAAATCAAGCAACAACAAACAAATGCACAAGCCAGGCTTTGGAGGCAGAAAGGTCCAAGTTCCCTTGACAACACTCTTTTGACCTTTTGTTTCTAAACTCCTGTGTTTCTAATATTATTTTTTGTTCCCCTGATGACTGATGATGTAAAAATCCTTATCGTGTATTTATTGACCACATAACCAAACTGGCTTTGTTCTTGAAAATGTTCTCTTTCACTATATCACATATTTTCTGTTTGATTTCGGTGTGATGTTTACTATCCTTTTTTTGTGTGATCTCTGTGTTGTAAATATCTGCTTCCATTCTATTAAGTGGTTTTTTTAATTTTTTTTAAATTTACTATTACATTTTATTTATTTTGTGTGTGTGCATAGGTGCACTGTGGTTCACGTATGACGTTAGAGGACAACTCATAGGGATTGGCTCTCTCCTTCCACCATGTGGGGTACTGGGATAAAATTCAGGTCTTCAGGCTTGCCTAGTGAGCCTTCTTGCCAGGCCCCTTTTCACTTTCCTTATTGTTTTTTAAATTCACTTTTTTTTCATGTGTATGAATGTGTTGCCTGTGTGTATGTGTGTTTGCCACATGTATGCAGTCTCCAAAGAAGCTAGACAAGGGCCTCAGATCCACTGGACTGGAGTTACAGTGGCTGTGAGCTGTATAGATGCTGGGACCACAGCTTTGCAAGAAAAGCTAATGCTCTTAGCCGACCCTTCTCTCCTGCCTCGCCTACTCTTTGGCTTTTCCAGTGGGATCTGTTGATTACAGAATTCTCCATTTTACTGTAATCAAACAGGGCAGAATTTCCCATGCAAAAAATACAGCAATCTCCTATGCTGCACTCTGAAATCCTGCTGGTTTGCCTTTTCTGTTTTCTCTGCAATCCATCTTCAGCAATTCTGATGTGCCATTGGGAAATAGTAGCCCTTTGTGGTTTTGTATAAACAGTCATTGTCCCTGTTTTTTGTTGTTGTTTTTTAAGACTATTGTTTTCTCTACTGTCTTGCAAAGCGTCTCTTGCCTTGAGAGTTCCCGCAGGACAGTGTCCCTTCTGGATTTTTTTTTTCTTCTTCCATTTCACTGGCTTATTTATCTGCCAGTGCCACGACTTTCAATTCTATACTTCATGATAAGTATCTCCGTCTTACATACCAAGTTCTTCTTTGTCTTTTTTCAGTAACATTATCATTGCCTTCGCATCTCTAGCTGATGTTTAGTTTAATTTCACCAGTTAGGAACCAGTGAGATGGCTTAACAGGGAAAGGTGCTTGCCACCAAGACAGGGTTCCATCCCTGGGACCCACATGGTACTAGGAGAACCCTCTCCCACCAGCTGTCCTCCAGCCTCCACACACATGAGCACGAACACACACACACACACACACACACACACACACACACACACACACACTTTGTTTTTTAAGAAAAAGAACAGGCTGTTCTGTTGCATCCTGGAGAAAAACAATGTTGCACTGGTTGGCATTCATGAGGCTGGTGAATGCAGAGTTAAACACCAGGTAGTGGAGAGGAAAAGTACTGGTCAGGATGCTGTGTGCCCTGAGATGACATGTCCACATGTCCACACCCCGATGTACATTCCAAAGAAATCTCACACATGGACAAAAATTGTCACAGGAGCGTTGATTCTAAGAGGAAAAAAATGAAAGTAAACAAGTCCTTTTCTTCTTTTTCTTTTCTTTTTTTTTTTTTTTTTTTTGAAACAAGGTCTCATTTAGCCTAGGGTCTCTCTAGCCTCAGACTCATGGCAATTCTCCTGCATCAACTTTCCAAAGTAGGAGGACCACAGTGGCTAATCTGAATCAATTCGAGTACAATAAATGAATAGAGAGAGTCTGGGGAGATGATGCAGTGGTTAAGAGCACTAGCTACTCTTGCAGAGGACCTGGGCTTGGTTCTCAGCACCCACATGGTGGCTCACAACTGTTGGTAACTTCAGCTCCAGAGAATCCAACACCCCCTCATGAGGACCAGGAACACATGCAGGACACTACACATATGCAAGCAAAACCCATGCACATGAAATAAAGATTTTTAAATAAATAAATGCAAAGAAAATGGAACCATTAAGTTACAATTAATATACACAGACCACAGCTTTCTCTGTCTACCAGGAAAAAAGTCGTGAACATGATGTTGAATAAGTAAAACAAGTGTCAGAAAGTTACAATACTCCGCTACCATTTAGGCAAACGTTTTAACTCCACAGAATAATACTATACTTTGTTGAAACAGACAAATTTGTCCTATAGAGAGCAAAGTCAGGGAAAACACTGGGTGCAAGGGAAAGGGAAAGACATCAACAAGATGGCTCTCTCTCTCTCTCTCTCTCTCTCTCTCTCTCTCTCTCTCTCTCCCTCTCTCCCTCCCTCCCTCCCCCCCCTCCAGGTTTCTCTAAGTAACCTGGCTGTCCTAGAACTCACCATATAACCAGGCTGTACTCAAACTCACAGAGATCCACCTGCTTCTGCCTCTTGAGTGCTGGGATTAAAGCCATGTGCCACCATGTCCAGGAGAATTTTTATTTCTTAAGGTAGAAGAAAGTCCATTTTAAAGTATTGTGTCCATCTTTGTGTTAGGTTAGACTGTGTGAAATCACCTATATTTGGGAAAATATCAAATTCATAGTGATTAACTTAACAATTCTTTGATTTGGATACTGAGAAGATTATAAGAAACTAAGAATATACCTGCCCTGTATCTTGATTGTGCTGTGACCAATGCTTATGTATTTAGCCTTTTAGAATTGAGATGGAGCCAGGCCGGTGGCACACGATTTTAATCCCAGCACTCAGGAGGCAGAGGCAGGTGGAACTATGTGAGTTTCAGGACAGCCTGATCTACATATGAGTTCTAGGACAGCCAGAGTTATGTAGATGGTATCATTATATATGAAAGATATTGTATATGTTATATGTAGTGTGTGTGTGTGTGTATCTAAGAGATGGCTAAATCATGTATTACTCTTACGAGAACCTGAGTTCAATTCCCAGTACACACATCAGACAGCTCACCACTGCCTGTAACTCCAGCTCCAGGGGCTGTGACCCCCCCCCCCCCCCCACCCCCCACTCCTGTGAGCACTGCACTCTCACACACAAACACCCCACACACATAATTAAAAATTATTTTTTTTTTTTACAAAAAGACTCCACTCGACACTAGAGACCCAAGTGGAGGTGTCACAGGAGGAAGGGGAACAGAGGAGGAGGTGTCCAGGGCAGGGCAGCAATGTCTCCTGCTGTGATGGTAAATAAAGACCCTGTAATACAAATAGCAGAAGCAGTTTCTGGAAGGAACTTAGAAATAACTCCCAGGATTTGGACTGAGGGAAGGACAGGGAGGATAGAAGTAAACCTAAGCCCCCATCTATAGATAGGACTTTCAGTTTGTAATTCAGACCACGGAGGCCAGCTAGATGGCTCAGCAAACTGGGTCCAAACCCAGAACCCCTGCTGCCTGCCTTCTGGCTCATCTGCACCAGTGGTGATGGAGAGAGCGGGAGAGGGAGCAGTCAGTCACCCAGAGAGCTTAGTGTCGGTCCTTCTGGGTGCTCTGCCAACTCCTGGGACCTGGGATGTCTGTGTGTCTCTTTATCGTCCTTTGTGCTCTCCTAGAGGTACTTGAAATGTTCATTTTGTCTAGTATCAGGCTGGTGCTCCTTCGGGGACACCTGGGCAGGTGGGAGGTGATGAACAGTGTGACCACGCTAAGCCAATGACAATGTGCCCCACGGATTCCTTTCCATACAGAGAGCGGGTGTTGGCACAGATATGGACATGCCCCATTGCCCCATCCTGGCCCCAACCACTTTCTCTGATAAGACATAAAAAGATGGCAAATGGACAGAGGGGGACACTGGTTCCAAAAGGGCAGAGAGGGACGTCCAGATCCTGATGTAGAACAGGCTCCAGAAAGCAGAGAGCAGAGATTCTTAGCAGATCAAAGATCTGAGAGTAGTTAAGGGTCCCCATGAAATAGAGGGGACCCCTTCTCAGCCCAGGTGCGGTACAACCCTCTGCCAGCATGTTCAGAGGAGCTAATGTTCTCTTGAGTTCAATCCGCCCACCTGTTGGGTGGCCAGGTTCAGCCATTTTATTAGAGCATGACTTCAGGAGTGCTGCCACCCTGTTGAAGGATCCCAAGTTCTCTAATCTGTCATCTTTTATTCGTGCCCTCAAGGTGGGTGCTACCATTATCTATATCTTGCAGAAGAGGAAACTGAGGCTTGGAGAGATGGTGCCATACTCAAGGTTGCTGGTCCAGGGTGTGAGCCCAGGCCTGCTGACTTCTGATCACAAGCCCTAACCATTGTCTTCACTGCCACCTCAGGACTGCCTGGAGCCACACTCACTTCCTGCTGTCCTCTCTGCAGGTCCGGACTCTGGTGGCTGACTTCTCCATCGTCTTCTCCATCCTGCTCTTCTGTGGAATTGATGCCTGTTTTGGGCTGCAAACCCCCAAGCTGCACGTGCCTAATGTCATCAAGGTTTGCCCCTTGTCCCTGCCCTGGGCTGTTATGTCCCTCTGCCTCACACTCAGAGATCCACCTGCCTGCCTCTGCCTCTCGGGTGGTGGGATCGAAGGCATATGCCATTATGCCTGGCTTCAGAATATACATATTTAAAGAAAAGAAACAATGCATCCAGAAGTGGTGATTTGCTTACAGCTAACCTCAAGCCCTCCCAGATGTACCAACTATCAACCAAAGTAGGGAATCTGAGTCTAGACCCTGCCTTTGAGGTAGTGTTAGCCTTAAACAAAATCTCTGATTCCTGGAAACTGGGAAAAGATGCTCTGAAATCAGGAGCATCTGAGTTTGGATCTCCAGCGCACACCACAAAAGCCAGGCATGGATGAGTGCACCTGCAACCCAGCATCAGAGGCAGAGACAGGCGGAGTCTGGGTGCTCACTGACCAGTCAGCCTAACCCAAATAGTGAGCTGTGTCAGTCAGAGGCAGTAAAGCAAGACAATGAGGGATGAGCGACAGTGAAAGACCCCCGATGTACCACTCTGGGTTTGCATGTTCATGTGCACACTCCACACACACACACACATACACTCCACATACACACGCAGTCCTTCCTTTTAAATGTCCACTTCTACACGAATGACTCCTCATTCTCAACACACAGGTCTGAACTTGGCTTTTTCCACAGAGCTCTCAGAGCTCCTTAGGCAGTTGGCTCTGTAGAGGCAGCACTGGGCTCATCCAGTGTTTTATTCTGTCAGGTCTCATTTCGGCCTTTTGTCTCCCTGTGTACACCTTCCTGGCTGCCCTCTGAGCTACACCTGTTTTTTCAGGGTGATGCAGCCTGTTCGGTTCTGTTGAGTTCTCTAGCCCCATTGGGTCTGTGCTCCTTCCCATGCCTGTCTGCCTCTGACTCTTTTTAAAGTTGCAAGTACTTAGTATCTTTAAGGGAAAATATCATCGTGGTTGAGAACTGCTGGGGGGGGGGGGGCGGGGGGGCGGGGAAAGGAGAGTGGTGGGAAGGCAGGGCCATGGGTGAGTGTCTGGACAAGGAAGAGATGAACAGCCTTCTTCGCTTGCTCTACTCAGCCCACAAGGCCTGACCGAGGCTGGTTTGTTGCCCCCTTTGGGAAGAACCCTTGGTGGGTGTACCCTGCCAGTATCCTGCCCGCCCTGCTGGTGACCATCCTGATCTTCATGGACCAGCAGATCACTGCTGTCATTGTCAACCGGAAGGAGAACAAGCTGAGGGTGAGGCTGAGTCAGGAGCATAGCTGGGGGAGGGAAGGAGGGGTGTTCTCCCTTCCATCATTTGAGAAAACAAGTCCCCATGTGGTGCCTTTAGGTGAGGGAGATGTGTTCTTGTCCAAGGTGGAGTGGTCTGAGAACTAGGTGCGAGCCCAGGCTGGGTCCTGGGCCCAAGGTGCCTGGACCCCACGCTCTGGGGTGTACCTCCTGATACTGAAACGTGGGCACCTCACACATGCTGCTGCGTTTAGGCCTAAAATCAGGAGGCAGAGGAATTTCCTCAGCCTTCTGTGTCCTGGAACCAACCCCTCCCTGACTTTGGGTCTGACGGGAACTGCCTTTCAGAGACTCAAGTCACCAGTCCCCGCCCCACCCGGTCAGAACCAAACTGTGGCTGTGGCTACTGGGCATGAGCTCGTCATTATTAATTTTTAAAGATTTATTTATTTATTTAATGTATGTGAGTTCACTGTCATTCTCCTCAGACACACCAGAGGCCATCGGATCCCATTACAGATGGTTGTGAGCCACTATGTGGTTGCTGGGAATTGAACTCAGGACCTCTGGAAGAACAGCCAGTGCTCTTAACCGCTGAGCCATCTCTCCAGCTTGCAGGAGCTCTTCTCACCAGGGACCAAACCTAGGGCTTTCCCAAGCCTGAGTGTCCCTTTTTTCCACATCTGTGGCCCAGGCTCAATTTTTTAGACAAGGTAGCAACTAGTGCCACTTTTGGGGATAGTGAGGCCCATACACTTCCTAAGTCCTGAGTGTCTGCCCCAGTAAGTGTCTCAGTGGGGACAGAGAATATACTCTGGTAGGCAGGGGGAACCATGCTCCACAAAATGGTTGCTTTGGGAAGGATCAGGTTCTCAGAGTTTCTCCTGTCCCATTGTCCTACAGAAGGCCGCCGGCTACCATCTGGACCTCTTCTGGGTGGGCATCCTCATGGCCCTGTGCTCCTTCATGGGGCTCCCCTGGTATGTGGCTGCCACGGTCATCTCCATCGCCCACATTGACAGCCTCAAGATGGAGACGGAGACCAGTGCCCCAGGGGAGCAGCCGCAGTTCCTGGGGGTCAGGTAGGAGGGAGCGAGGCTGGGTCACCTGAACAGGAGGGGGCATCTTAAGGAAAGGGAATTATTTTCCCTCAGGGTATTTGGGTAAGAAAGGCTTTCCCTGAGACCTCTGAAACTACAGCCATAGGAGGAATATTCTGAAGAGAAAGAGAGATGAAAATTTAATTCTATCAGTTCTAACTGATACTTTTTTCTTAGTAGTCTCCAGTAGTCACACCCACACACACCCACACGCACACTCACACTCACACACACACATTCTCCCTTACTCACTCTAGAACAGGGCTTCTTAACCTTCCTAGTGCTGCAACCCTTTAATACAGTTCCTCATGTTGCGGTGACCCCAGCCATAAAACTATTTCATCGATATTTCATAATTGTAATTTTGCTACTGCTATGAATCATAATGCAAATATTTGATATGCGACCCCCTAGAGTCTCACCCATGGTAGGGCCTCTCCTTGCCCTTGGTTTGTCTTTCTCAAGATCCTCTGGAGGCCTCCCCATAGGTTTACATCCTGCTTAGTCGCCTGAGAGCCTTTCTGGACCCAACCGGGATTCCAACCCATAGCCCTCCCTGGCTTGAAACTTCTATTTCTTTCCTTTCCTCTCCATTCCTGCCCCATGTCAGGCCCCAAGCTGGTTCATGCAAGAAAGCATATCCTCTACCCCTTTGTGTTCCCGAGGTCCATGCCAGACCCCAGTGTTCTCCAAAATGGCTGCCCTGGGAATCTCCTGTGTCCCTGGGACACAAGGGCTACCTGGAATGCCATGAGGAAGACCCCTTTGCTTGGTTGAAGTGCTCAAGGCTGGCCAGGGGAGGGGGGTCCTCTCCTAGTCCACTTCCTAGATCTAAGCAATTTGCCCAGAGCCTATAGCTGCAATCTGGGTTATACCAGGGCTTGACAGTGAAAGAAAAACCTACTTTTTCCTCCTGCTCCCGCTGCCTCTTTTGCCAACAATCAGGGCACCTTCCCAGGTCTTCATCCCCTGAGTCCCAGGGATAGGAACTCATCAATAAAGCAGGGCACTAAGCACTTTACAATCTCCCAGTAGCAGTGCTGTTATCCCTACCGCACCCAGCTCAGGCTGTTCATGGCCTTGCCTGATATTGTCCACACATGAGAAGCAGAGCCAGGAGTCAGCCTGAGTCCACATGGCTCAAGCTCCAGCTGTTAGGCATGGAGCAACCTCCCTGACACTCTTCACAATACCCTGGGCTGGCCAGGTGCTCCCTGCCTTTCCTAACCAGATCATCTGGGCCTTGGGGTGCAAAGTAGAGCCCAATTAAGGCAGCCCTGAGGTCCATATCGTTGGGTGTAATAAGCTTCAATCCAGAAGAAGAGCTGAACAGGCTGGGACTGGTCCCTGAGTTTCTTTCAGGTCACACCTGACTGTGTGTTCATCTCCGTCAGGGAGCAAAGAGTTACTGGAGTCATGGTCTTCATCCTGACAGGCATCTCCGTCTTCCTGGCTCCTATCCTGAAGGTGAGACTCTGCCCCATCACTCTCAAAGTCCAGGGGCCACCAGCCTACAAGCTATAAGAAAGGCGCAATATGAATGGGCCAAGGTGGTGTCTGTCATTCATTGTTTTCTGTGATGTCACACAGTATGCCATCAGTATGGCCATCATGTCTGTTCTGTCTTACCTCCTCCAGGGGCCACTGCCACTTTTCTGGAGGACCTTCTTTTCCAGGGACTTCTGTAGTGTTCTGTCTTACTTAGTCCAGGACCCCGAGAGCTGGACCCGACCACATTGCTGTGCTTAGGGCTCACTCCAGGTCGTCTTGTTCTGCCCATTTTCTGACTGTAAGCTTTGCACATGGGAATCCCCAAGCTCTTCTACAGGCACCATCCCACTCCTTGTGTATCTTGGGCACATAATTGACTTTTTCCCAAAGCTTGAAACTCCTCTTGCTCCCATCCCAACACCAGGGAACACTGTAGCAGGGGTGCTTTCAAGGCTGTGTCCTTTAGGGAATTCACTTACCAGTCTGGAATGGGGAAGTTCTGACAGGTCTTTCTACTCTCTTCTCTACCACATTTAGTGGCCTATTCATGGTCCTGTCATTCAGTCAACACTCACTAAGACTTTCCTTCATGTATATGTGTATGTGCACTCAAACATATGTGAACGTGCATCTGTGTGTATGTGTGTGTGTGTGTATAGACCACTCATGGAATCTTGAGGTGCCAGATCCCTGGGAGTTCCAGGAGGTTGTGAGCCACCCAACGTGGGTGCTGAGAACCGAACTCAGGTTCTCTACAAAAGCAATATGTGTTCTTATCTCCCAAGCCATCCCACTGGCTTCTTTACCTTATATTTTTGAGACAGGGTCTCACTGAACCTGGAGCTCACACATTTGGCTAGACTGACCGCAAGCTCAAGGGATCCTCTCACCTCTATCTTCACAGTGTTAGGACAGCAGCTCTGTGCCTCTGCATCTGGCCTCTTTCTGTGGCTCCTGAGGGTTCAACTCAGGACCTTGTTTGTGTTCTGTGTGGCAAGCACTTTACTGGCCGAGCCGTCTCTGCAGCCCAGGACTTTCCTTTCATATTAAACTTAGTCCAGTGTTGTAGCCATTCCCTTCTCCCACCTTTAAGGCTCTTAAAGTAAAGGCTCTTAAAGGCTCTGAGGTAATCTTGCAAAGAAAAGAATGCACTGCCTCTGATTGGCTCACTATGACAAGTGTATCTGGCTTAAAAACAGATGCTGGGCACATCTGAGTAGTAGGTGTGCAGCTGGGTCCTTCAAAGGAAGGTCTCCATTGTGTATGGATCAGATCACACACAGACGGGCAGGTATTTTTCCTTCATTTGAAAATGGTTGTTTGCAGGCCAATGAGATAGTTCAGCAAGTAAAGGTACCTACCTGTTGCTGAGGCTGCCAATCCAAGTGTGATTCCCTGGACAACACACACACACACACACACACACACACACACACACACACACACACACAGAGAGAGAGAGAGAGAGAGAGAGAGAGAGAGAGAGAGAACATCTGATGGCAGGAAAGAATCAACTCCTGAAGGCTGTCCTCTGACCTGCACACATGAACACACACACACACACACACACACAGAGAGAGAGAGAGAGAGAGAGAGAGAGAGAGAGAGAGAGAGAGAGAGAGAGAGTTAAGTGTTAATCAATCAATGTAAAAATAGAGGCTGGAGCGCTGCCTCAGTGGTTAAGAACACTGTTAGCTTTTGTAGGGGACCTGGGTTTGGTTCCCAGCACCCTCACAGCAGCTCACAACCATCTGCAACTCCAGTTTCAGAGACTCTCATGTTCTCTTCTGGCCTCAGCGGGCACCAGGCACACATGCTGTGCACATACATATATACAGCCAAAAACCACTCGGACACACAAAATAAAGATGAATCTTTTTTTAAATGAGCATATTATGCTTTTAAAGTTGATTAAGTGAATACAAGTAAAATAAACCACACTTTGAAGAGCACACTAGGTTTGATAGCCTAGGCCTGTAACTTGGGAAAATGAAACAAAGAGTCACAAGTTCAAGGCCAGCATCTGTTACAGAATGAGTTCTGGGCTGACCTAGGCTCAAGATAAGCAGTGCGGTGAAGATGGGGGTGGGGGGGTGAGCAAAGCATTGGTGGAAAGACCATCTAACACTTTCAAGGCTTGGGGTCGGCGGTGGTACGATGCTTGCACGATGCTCGCCAGGCACAAGCAAGGCCCTGGTGCAATCACAGGTAAACCCAGAACCACTTTTCTGGTCTCAGGGATGGAACTCAAGGTCTCGAGAATGCTAGACAGTGCTCAGCCACCGAGCTATAGCTCCAGACCATAGAATCACTCTCAGTTTTTACATTTTTATTTGTGTGTGTGCCTGTGTGTGCACGAATGTGTGGTTTGTGGTGTGTGTGGAGGTCAGAGCACAGCTTACAGGAATCAGTTCTCTCTTGCCACCTTTCGTGTCCCGGGTATTGAACTCCAATTGTCAGGCTCGTTATCAGGAGACTTTACCTACTGAGTGTCTCCTTGGCCCCAAAGTGTATCTTAAGTGTGCAAGGAGTGAGTCTTAATTGTGAAAAAGTTTCCAAAGAACCGTCCTGTGTCAGTCCTAATATTGTTTGACAAGTGTTTGTGTCAAAGGCCAATAGTCTAAAAAGAGGGTGATTGGGTGACCCAAGATTCCTCCCTACACTGTGCAGACGGCAGCTCCCATCTCCCTGAGACACTGTCGGGCTTGAGTCCAGCGGCGGGGCAGCGGGGCATGTTCAGCAATGCAGCCGTTCCGCACCAGCTTGTCTCTGTGTGTTGAATCGACCAGAGAGCAGCTAGAAAGGTCTACCGTAGTCGCCATCCTTTTGTTCCATTTACAATGTGGTCAGTTCTTTTATGGACACGTTTATCACATCCTGTGTGTAGTGGCCGGTCTTTTATGCTCACACTTTTGACATCTGGTTTTGTGCTAATGTTGTCTGTGTTCTTAGTCTAGGACAGCAGGCCTACAGCAGTACAAAAATAATACTAGAAATAAGGGTTTGAGTGGAGCTCAGTGGCACAGGTGAGGAGCTGGTCACATCCCCGATGGAGGATCAGGATCATAAACCACAGGATCTATGGTACGAGCATCTCAAGGGGCACACCTGCCCCTAAACAAGGCTTTGGAGGCTGGAGAGATGGCTCAGTGGTTAAAGAGGGCTCGCTGCTCTTCCCAAGGACAGAGTGTGGATCCGAGCTTCTACACCAGGCTTCTCGTAGCCACACTCCGATTCCAGGAAGTCTTACCTGCCTCTTCTGACCTCTGAGGGCCCCACACTTACCTGGCACACTCTCTTACACACACATAAGAACTAAAAATAAAAAATTTAAAGATAGGATTTCAAACGTTAGTGAAGGTCTTTCCAGTCAGTGCTGAACAACCACGTCTCTCACAAGAGCTGGAAAACCCAGGGCATGAGAAAGCTCTACCCCAGGAAGCAGAAGTGTGGGCTGGGGTGCTGCTGACATGAGCCCTGCCGAGCCACACAGTCCAACAGTGAGAAAGCGACGAGAAATACGGCACCCTGAGAGTGGCTATCTAGAGCTCCCAGGGGCTCTGGGTGCTGTACTTTCAAAATTCTAGGGCTGTAGCTCAGCTGGAAGAGCTTCCTGAGCATGCAGGAGCCCTTGGGCTCCATTCTCATTCTATCCCCCTGCGTAAACCAGGCAGTTTGAGATCTAATTAGAATGCGTGCCTCTAATCTCTGTGTTTTCTTTATCTTGATTTTGTTTTGTTTTGTTTTCGAGACAGGGTTTCTGTCCTGGACTCACTTTGTAGACCAGGCTGACCTCGAACTCACAGAGATCCACCTGCCTCTGCCTTCCAAGTACTGGGATTAAAGGTGTGCACCAACTAGCCTGGCCCTTGATTAGTATTTTATTTTTTATTTTATTTATTTTTTATTTTTTTATTTTTTGGTTTTTCGAGACAGGGTTTCTCTGTGTAGCCCTGGCTGTCCTGGAACTCCCTCTGTAGACCAGGCTAGCCTCAAACTCAGAAATCCGCCTGCCTCTGCCTCCCAAGTGCTGGGATTAAAGGCGTGCACCACCACCACCCGGCTTGATTAGTACCTTAAATACTTATCTTATTTACATGTACGTCTGTGTGAGTGACTGTCACGTTTGTTTGGGTCCTGTCAGAAGCCAGAGGAGGGCATTTGATCACATGGAGCAGTTTCGAGCCAGCCACTGTGAGTGCTGAGAACAGGACTCAGGTCCTCTGGGAGGGCAGCAAGCACTCTTAACCATGAGCCATCTCTCCAGTATAAGACCCTTGCCCTTTTATTCTCATAGATAGTGTCTCACTATGTAACCCTGAGTGGCCTGGAACTTGAGATGTAGACCAGGCTGGTCTCAAAGTTTTCATAACCCTCCTGTCAAGTGCTGGGATTACAAAGATGCGGCACGATGCTGGCATAGTATTACATTTTATTTAAGGTTTTCTTTCAGTTGCCCTTATGCTTTGAGTGCAATTTGCACAGAGCTAACTTAGTGACTTTTTATGTTGTTTTATAATTAGGACATTTTTCACAAGCCACATGTTGGCAGGAAGGTGCAAGGGCCGTCTAAATCCCTTTTTAACTTTTAGCACAAAGGCCTTGGGATGGAAGCTTACAACATCTAGATACAAGTCTTAGTGCTTAAACACTGAACAATCTAACTTAAAAGAGGTCATTGTTTGCTTGGATATCTTAACATTCTTTCTTTTAAAGATTTATTTTACCTTTTAAAACTATGTGTATGTGTGTCTGTCTGTGTGTGGATATGTATACATGAACACAGGCACCAGGCACCGAGGAGGCCAGAAGAGGACATGAGCCCCTCTGGTGCTGGGGCCACTCGATGTGGGTGCTGGTGCTCTCACCTCCATCCCCTTCAACCCCTCTCAGCGTTCTTAAATGGCACCTGCAGGTTAGGCAACCCATGTAGGTATCAGACTTTGTGCTTACCAAGTGTTCTCCCAAGAGCAAGGCAGGCCAGCCTTGGTTCAGCAGCAAGCAGAGGCACAGATAAAGAAAAAAAGGAAGAGAAAGGCAGCCTAGCCAGGTGGTGGAGAGAAGGCTTTTGAAGATTCTGAATAATGATTGTGGGACAAAGTAAATGACATGGTTCCATTGTTGAAAAAGCAAACTGTTGTTCTTGTTTGCAAGGAAGGACTCCCCATCAGTGGCGAGCTGGGGATCTGTCCTCCTTAGTTCATACAATGCTGCCTGTAACGTGTGTCTTCTGTTACTTGCTTCTGCTGGGCTCGCCCAGGGTCCCAGCCCCTTCTGTGACTGTCAGCTGAGGCAGAAGTGGAGAGAATCTGGTGGAGTGAGTAGTGCACAGTCTGGGTGGCTTCCCCTCTTGCTGGAAGGCTAACCCACATCGTATAGATTCTGAGTGGCCGGGAGAGCAGCCAGTCTTGGGAAGCAGCAGCAGGCTGGTCTGGGTACCCAGGCTGGGGGCCTGTTAGCCCATCCTCATGGCCCTCACCTCACTTCATCCAGCTTTAGTTCTGCTGTTGGACCCTCAGTTCCTTCAAAGTCCAGCTCTCCAGCACTCTCTGTGGTTGGCTGATACCCTTGTCCATCACCAAGTAGCAAGGCCCCTCCCCAGCCCAAACCTGTCCTCTCATTTCAGTACATCCCCATGCCAGTGCTCTATGGAGTCTTCCTCTACATGGGAGTGGCCTCCCTGAATGGCATCCAGGTAAGGTTGTATCCTCCCCGGGCTGATGTGACCTAGAGCCAGAACTTCATGTCTAGTTTGTGCTACCAAGACCCTAAATGTTTGCTGTCCCAGTTCCATGAGAGAATAATGGTGATGATGCTACTTCCATTGTGCCACCAAAATGACTACACTAAGTATTTTACAGGGATCATATAATCTATGAGACTAGGCCCTTAGGTTCCCATTTTACAGATGGAGAAACTGAGGCTCAGAATTTGAAAGCCAGGTCAAGCTAACTGTTATGAACCTTCCCTCCCTAATTCCCTAAAGCTGCTCTATAAAAGAAAAGATTTTGTTTTGTTCTGCTTCTCCATGACACTAGGGCCCCAGGCAGTTTGTGCTGCTGTTAAGATGGTTTCTTTTCCCTCAGATATGGATTTTGTTCATGTTCCTTTAGTCACTCTCTGCAGGCTGTTTCCTATACCTGGTGCTCGGGGTCCCTTCCCTATGTTATACATATGTACATACTACTAGCCTATCATAAGGCCCAATTAGGAGACCCTTCTCCACAACCCTACCAGGTCACCACATCCCCTAGTCCCAGAGCCCAGTAGGCCTTTGGCGCTGGGGTTTGACCTCTTGGTTGAATCCTATGCTCTATTCTTGCCAGTTCTGGGAACGCTGTAAGCTTTTCCTCATGCCAGCCAAGCACCAGCCAGACCACACCTTCCTGCGCCACGTACCCCTTCGTCGGATCCACCTGTTCACGCTGGTGCAGATCCTCTGCCTGGCCCTGCTCTGGATCCTTAAGTCAACCATGGCTGCCATCATCTTTCCGGTCATGGTAAGGAGGGTCCGGTGGGCTCCTTGGTGCTTGGCAGATTGGGTGGGGCAGTGCCACCGGCAGGTTCAGTGCCAGAGAGCAGAGAACAGTACCATAGAAACAGGACCCTGTGGAGAAACCCATAGAAGTCAACCAACCTCCCCCACCCATGAGCAGGTGGGACGGGGGAGGGGGAGCAGGATTGAAGAAGCAGAACAAAGCAGAAAGGCAACGCTCCCAGTGCTGAGCCTCAGACTGATCTTGGAAACGGAAGTGTAATAGTAAGCTTATTCCCATGTAAAACGAATGCATTTGAAAAGCTAAGTGGATCATGAAAGGGGCAGAGACAGTGCTCAAAGATTCAAGAACTAGGAATGTTGCATTCTTCTGGGCTTGCTGGCTAGTTAGTCTTGGGGACATTGGAGTGGCTACAAAGATGCTGGCCACACATGGTCCCTGACCTCAGCCAACTGGGGAGAAAACACAAGCTCACAGTTGTCTTTGAGCTCCCATGAAGTTTTAGCCTTTCTGCCCTTCTTCCCATCCCAGATCCTGGGCCTTATCATTGTTAGAAGGCTCCTGGACTTGATTTTCTCCCAGCATGACCTGGCCTGGATTGACAATATCCTCCCAGAGAAGGAGAAAAAGGAGACAGACAAGAAAAAGAAGAGAAGGAAAGAGGTCCACGAGAACGCAGAGGAGGAGGTGGGGATGGTGAGTCTGGGCAGAAGGCAGAGACTGAGAGACTCGGTTCTGCCAGGGCGAGGGGTGGCCTTGTGGGTGGTCTTGGGTGCTAAGACCCTATCTGTTCCTGGAAATATCCTCAGGGTGGTCAGAACTAGTGAGCTTGTCTGCCTAGAAGCAGGTGATGGCCACTTCTGTGGGTTCTTAGTTTCAAGTCCCTGGGGCAGAAGAGACTCCAACATGGAAGGTAGTTGTAAGAATTGCCTGAGAAAGGAGCAGGTCTGTGGAGAGCGATCAGTGGGAACTCACATGGGGCCTGGACTCTAGGGATGTCACCCTGGTAACAGCTTAGCTTGGGCCTACCTACATGGGATCAGGGATGGAAGCGGGAGAAACTGTCTTCGCTGAGGTAGAGGGACCATGTGGTTGCCCCACCTGCTCTTTCCCTCTCCCATGCTTCCTCGATCCCAGCCAAGGGTCAGCCCACGCCATACAGCAGGCACCAAAACACCAGGCTGAAAGATTTTCTTTTCTTTTTTTTTGGGGGGGGGGGTTCAAGACAGGGTTTCTCTGTGTAGCTCTGGCTGTCCTGGAACTCACTCTGTAGACCAGGCTGGCCTCGAACTCAGAAATCTGCCTGCCTCTGCCTCCCAAGTGCTGGGCTGAAAGATTTTCTGAATCAAGCACTCACTACAAATAATGACAGCTCTTTCCCAAATGGAACACGACCTCCCAAGATGGATAAGAGCTGTCTAAGAGCATTAAGAACTCGGTCCTACTTTGGTTACTCCTTTTCCTGGTGCCAAGTCCCTGCTCCCTTCCGTTTGACTCAAGCCAGTAACCGTCACCTAACTTTTGCAAATGAAAAACTTTTCACAGGCAATGACTCCCTTAACTGTAGTCCTCCTACAGGAGAGAGCCTTTATGCACTTTAACAAAGGAGAAAAGTTCTGGGGCAGGGGTGGTTCAGTGGGTAGGGAGCTTGCAAGGCAAGCATGAAGCTCTGGGTTCCAGTTCTAGCACCTTATAAGCCAGGCATGGTCATGCTTACCTGTAGATTGAAGTTGAGTGTTAGTACAAGAGGTTGAGATAGGAGGATCAGAAATTTAAGGCCAGCCTATAAAGGGAGGGAGGGAGAGAGGGAAGGTGGGAGAGAGGGTTAGAGTCTAAGCATCTTCTTTTATTTTGAGATTTATTTTTTTAATTATGTTGTATTGCCAGTGTCTGTGTCTGGGTGCATGTATGTGGCTATGTGCTTGTGAGTGTAGGTGCCTGTAGCAGCCAGTAGGAAGCGTCAGATCCCCGGGGCTTACAGGCAATTGTGAGGCACCCAAGTGTGGCGCTGAGAACCAAACTCCAGCCATGAGCAGCCAGAGTTCTTAGCTGCTGAGCCATCTCTCCAGCCCTACCCTCCACCAAAGGTCTTTTCCATTTTTGTTATTTTAGTATATGTCTGTTTTGCCTGCATGTGTGTGTCTGTGTGAGGGTGTCGGCTCACCTGGAACTGGAGTTACAGACAGTTGTGAGTTGCCACATGGTTGTTGGGAATGGAACCCAGAATTTCTGGAAGAACGGCCAGTGGTCTTAACCACTGAGCCACCTCTCCAGCCCCCCTCCCCCAAGTGCCTTTTAAAACCGAATGCTTTTTCTTTGGTTTCTTCAGTAAACATCTGAGTAACTCCTATGTGCCAGGAGTCACTCCAGGTCTGAGGGAAACCATCTCTGCGGTTTAGGATACATTTACTCAGTAGAAGAATGAGATTTGAGTCACTTAAACTCATCTTACACCTGTCTTTATGGCAATGCTGCTGTAGTGTGTGTGAGCCACTCACAGTGTCTGCTTACACAGCAGACTATACCTTTCAGAGAGACATTCCTGGCTGGATTCCTGCCTGTGTTCTGGGCTGTAGAAGAGTGGGTAACTGTGCCGTGGTGCCTCGGTGGGCCCCAGTGTTTACTGCAGCCCTCAGTACTTGGTCTGGGTGGGAAGAGGATGGCTCCCAAACTGTGCATGTATGCAGCTTGTGTCTCATTAAAGAAACCCAGGTGGCTGTCTTGGTGTTTATCTGCTTTCCCACTGTTTTTCTCCAGCCCCAGTCCCTTCCTCCCTCAGTTGTAAAGATCCCCATGGAAGGTCTCCCATCTGATCCCCAAAATGGTATCCACTGCGTTGCCAGTAAGTAAAGCACCTGCTCTCTTCCTTCCTGCTCACGGCCAATCTTCCTCCCACTCCCGAGGGACCTCCCCTTGCAGCTCAGTGCTCTCCTTGTTTTAGATGCTGAGGTCTCCTGGCCAAGAGCCTAGAAACGCCACCGTATGGAGACACCCCTCCCCATAAAAGAGCATCCTTCAGTCTTCACTTTAGACAGGACCACCATTCCTAACTTTCCTTTGGCCCCCATGGCTTTGCTGGTCTTCACTGTTTTAGAACACATCTGTCCAACCGTGGCCCCCGAGTCTCCCACATCTCCCTGGAACTGTGATGATTGAGAATCTCAGTCATTGTTCCGTATTAGAGAGACAGCCATGGATGAGTCCAGCTCTGGTGTTAGGCTGTGATCCTGTGAAAGCCACAGGCACCTGCCACTGCTGACAGGGGGCTTGCTTAGGGAAGTCAGCTTATGGTCATGAAGTCTCTTCTAGAACCTTCCCTGGCCTCTAATTCTTCCCTGGTGATAGACAGCCCAATTTGTCCTTGTAGTCTTTTGAAGGATGTAATGGAACACTGATCATAGACCATGGAGGATCCTATCAGAACCTGTCACTCTTCTCAAAGACAGGTCAGGTACCGGGGGCGAGCACATCCTGCCAACGCCTTCAGGGGCCCTTGAGAACTCTTCATCATAGCACAAAGTCACCTGAGGTTTCTTCTTCTCCTGTCCTACTTTCTGTCATCCTCTCATGGCATGGCCCATGCCTCTTTCTTTTCTAACCAGCTAAGGGCCCCTGTATGAGACATTGAGCCTGAAGCAACCTATCCTCTGTGAGCCCCCAGTATTCCTTCCCCTTGTGCCTTGTTGACTAGGGCTGAAAAGCAGAACACAGAGAGGGTGAGGGGGTTCTGGAGAACTAGATTGTTCCCTGTACCCTGTTGGACCTGCTCACAGCGGCCTTCTCATCTCCCTCCAGGAAAAAGATCTTCCAGTTGGAGCTACTCTCTCTGACTCCTCCTTCAGTGGCTCAGAACTGGACCGAAGGTAAAGGCTGTCGCTGCTTCTCTTTTCCATGTGCGTGGGTATGGGGCTATTAACTGGGCCATGGGTGACTTATCAGTGAGGACACTCATAAGGAAATGACTCCCTCCCCCAGCAGCCATGAACTGCCAGGAGCTTCTCAGCGGGGGCTGGGAGGGCTCATGTGAGGTAGACTCTTGAGCATCAGACAAACCTAAGCAACGGCTTCAGGCCTAAGGGGCTAGACCAGCTCTGCTGGTCCACACCCGGGAGACAGGTGAATAACCTGGCCATGGAGATCAAGAACTAAATGTGTGCATTCATTGCCATCAGATGGTTTCAATGCACAACAGAATTCAACTTTAGAAAAGGAACCACTGCAAACCACTGCATAGAATACTGACAGTAAACACAGAACAAAGAAAGCAGCTATTCAACAATGAAAGCTAGCTTGATTATCTGTAAGGGAAAGCTTGGGTAGATATGCAAAGGGTCAAAAGGAGAGGTACTCACAAGAATAAAACAGTGGGGTTAGTTATCACAGGACAGATAAAGATTGAAGACAGTGCTGGGCAGTGGTGGCGCACACCTTTAATTCCAGCACTTGGGAGGCAGAGGCAGGCAGATTTCTGAGTTCAAGGCCAGCCTGGTCTACAGAGTGAGTTCCAGGACAGTCAGGGCTACACAGAGAAACCCTGTCTCGAAAAACAAAACAAAACAAATCATTAAAAAAAAATTGAAGAAAGCTAACTAGAAAGTAGAGATAGAAACATTCAAGAGAAGGATCATATGAACGTGACCCTTGGTGCTCTTGATGAGATGCTAGGCATGAAGAGAGTTGTGCACACGGCAGGTCCTCAAGCTGCTTGGGTGTCAGTGTCAGGGTGTGTGGGTGCCAGAGAGGACATCAGATGCCCCAGGACGGATGCTGCAGGTGGTTGGGAGCCACCACATGGGTGCAAGAGCTTTCCTCTGCAAGTACAAGTGTTCTTTAACCACTGAGCCATCACCACCCCAAATGTATTTAAACTAAAAAAGAAAAGGTTTATACCAAATCAAATCTCTAACTACCTCTTCTGCAGACAAGAGCCTACACCAAGATAAGGAATTAAAAAGAAACTGTTAAATTACACAGAGCCACAGAACAAGTTCATAAATGCAGAGAATTTGGTTAGCTAGACATGGCGCTTGCCATAGACACTGTGTATCCCCAACTCTGAAAGCAGTTGGAAGTAAAGGAGATCTCTCCAGAGAAGAAAGGGCTCAGGCGACAGGACCTGGATGGACATAGATAAAGCTTTAAAGCTGGAGGGGTGGGGGACTGAGAGATGGGGGAAGGGGCTGGCTGGAGGTCCAAGGGATGGTTGGGCTGAGAGATGGAGGGCTGGTGAGATGGCTTGCAGGTTACATTCACTGGCAGCTTTTCCAGAGGACACAAGTTTGGTTTCTAACATCCACATGGCTGCTTTGAGCCATTTGTCGTCCCAGTTCCGGGTGATCTGAGCCCTTGTGGATTACCAGGCACGCATGTGTTGTACAGACATACCTGCCAGGCATGAGGTTCCATACTTGGGGTAGTAGAGGGACATGCAAAGGCACAGTGAGTGCCATGTGTGAGAGCAAGTATCGACACACATAAAGCTGGTGATCTCAAGGGAATAGTCTTACCCAGGACACAAAGACCTGTCTGGTGCACAGACTGGGCCAGAGCAGAGGAGGAAAGTCCAGTCCAGGCCGTGGGAACATGCCTAAGGCAACATTTGAAAGCACACCCACAAGGATTGATGGGCAGTTCTGGCAGGCTCTGTCTGCCATGCTATGGAATCTGGATGCTGTCCTTTGAACAGTGAGAACAGAACAGTCAGATTTATGATTCGGAAAGTTGGCTTTGGCAGCCATTTAAGTAGGTTAAAAAAGGCTTCGACCAGTACAGTGACTGTGGCTGAAAGCCCAACAGATAGAGGACACTTTGTTCTCTGAATGCACTGAGTTCATGCCTCTGAGAAACAGAGGCAGGAGGATCAGGAATTCAAGGCCATTCTTAGCTACAAAGAAAGTCTGAGGCTACATGAGACCTAGTATCAAAAAACAACATCAAAAAGGCCAGCAAGATGGCTCAGTAGGTACAGGTGCTTGCCACCAAACCTGAGTTCAAAAAAATGGTGGCTCATGCCTTTAATCCCAACATCTGGGAGGCAGAAGTAGACAGATCTCTGCAAGTTCAAGGTTAGCCTGGTCTATACAGTATGACCCTGCCAGAAAAAATAAATAAAAATAAAACATGACTGGAGTTTAATCCCTGGGACCCATATGTTGGACAGAGATAATCAACTCCTGCATGGTCCTCTGACCTCCGCTCTCGAACCCCCAAACATCCATAAATAAATGTATGTAGTAAGTAACTTTTCTGAGACTGGGTTTCACTAACGTAGCCCAGACTGCTCTTGAATTCGGATCCACCTGTCTGTCTCTGCCTCACGAGTGCTGCATGGATTGTTAAGAATTTTCCTTTAGGGGCTGGGGAGATGGCTCAGCAGTTAAGAGCACTGACTGTTCTTCCAAAGGTCCTGAGTTCAATTCCTAGCAACCACATAGTGGCTCATAACCATCTGTAATAGGACTTGATGCTCTCTTCTGGTATGTTTAAAAACAGCTACAGTGTATTCATATAAATATAAGTAAATCTTTTTTTTAAAAGGAAAAAAAAGAATTTTTGTTTAAAAAAAAAACAACCTTGCATGCACGTGGTGCAGACATACACGCAAACACCCGTGCATTTTTTTTTTTTTACGCTGATAAGCAGCAACAGAACTGTTCCATCAGAGCCCTGCTCTGCGCCTGGTGCTGACCACACGCAAGAGTCTCATTCTTTCTTCCTGCTCTGCCCCACTCAGCATCACCTTGCATTTCAAAATCTCTTGTCCGGCTTCACCTGCTTTCAACTACTCACGGAATCCAGTCTTCATGGTGCCACAGGTGAGGATAGAGATGGAGTCTGACCTCAACCTCACAGACGACGAGGACTATGGGAGAGAGGTGGGCGGGGAGACCACCCTCTAGTCCAGCATTGCTCTTCCAGGCTGGGGGAGGGGGATAAAGCCTGGCCCTGGCTTCCTCTAGAGCGCGTGCTAAGCCTTTCACCTGCTTCCTTACCCACTGACCAGACAGACAACTAGAGGCCTTTCAGGGACATCTGACTTAGATACAAAGCTCCTCCCTTCCCTTTGCAGTTCTTAAAATACCCAAAACATACGGCTTAAAATGCCACCCAGCATAGATATAACCTTTCTTGTGAAAAAAATAAAAATGTTTTCCAAAGTTACAAATAAAATAAAACGGCCAGCAGTGGACTTACATTTAACATATATACTGATTTAGTCTCTTCTATGTAAAACAAATACTGGCTTAGTATTTTTGAAAGGTTTGATTGACATCTAAGTGACTGGATGGTCTTGAAGGTCTGAATGTGTCCTGCAGGTCTGCATAGTAGGACATAGCTGAGTCAAATCTTCCACCTCCTTCTGCTTGAAGTCCAGTCCTCTGTTCAGTGGGCCTGGCTTTGTAAGTGTGGCTGGGCCTTCCACACACTGAAAAGCCAGTTCTAAAACGATTACTGGAAGAATCTGTGTATTAGTGGATTTTGTTTGAGGGGGGTGATCACTGTATCTTCAGCTTTCCTGGAACTCCCTGTGTAGATCAGGCTGGCCTCAGAATTCAGAGACTCTCCTGTCTCTGGGATTAAAAGCATGTGCCTCCACATCTGGCTCTGATTGGATTGTTTTTAAGTTCATCAACTGAACTCATAAGTCACATTAGGTGAACCAAATGACCCTTTAAATTTGTCACTGGCTTCATAACCTGGAATCCATCTACTTGCTGATGTATTTGAGTAGGTCCTCTCTCTCCCTACACCACAATTTTGCAATAGCTAAAGCCCAAATTTCCAGTCTCAAGAACACTGCATGTTAGGCAGCTAATGTTGGTAATCAAACGAGTACTTTACACCAGTGGTTGGAAGGAACACCATTTCCAGCTGGGGTAAGACTTCCCGGCTCTTCACTGATCCAAACCCTTTCCAACACAAAACTGTTCATCTTCCTCTGCACCAATCCTGGGAGAGCTAACAGCATCCACATTTCAAAGTCTCAGAGATGAGTGTGCTTTATTAACCAAATGAGCTGGGAAACCAGTTAGCTTTTAAAAGGTTGATCATTCCATCTAATCTTTGCCGTAAACACCGGTTATGTTTTATGTGCATATGAACATTTTAACCTTTACCATGCTGATGTGTTACCTCTCCACTCACTGAGGAAGTTCTTCCATCTCTAATGTTAACTGCTCTTCAATAAAACTTAAATCATGTCTGCTTACCTTGTCTAATAACTGAGGGAACTCAACAACTGTTGCCTATAACATGTACCATACCCAACTTATAAAAATATCCACAGCAAAGGAGCTAGAGAGATGGCTCAGTGGTTAAGGGCACTTGCTGCTGTTGCAGAGGACCAGGATTTGGTTCCTAGCACCTTCATGATGGCTCACAACTATCTGAACTCCAGTTCCGGGAGACTTAAGGCCCTCTTCTGGCCTTCACAGAGTATACACACACACACACACACACACACACACACACACACACACACACACA